TTCTTTGTTGGAAATAAATTTGTTTAATATAATGTTGTTATGATGGGAGATGGATGGGTTTGTTATTAATGTAGCTATAACTGATCTTAACATTACTTTTTGTTAAAAATCTTTTTTAGTGCTGGTGACTGGTTAAAGTGCTTATGAACTAAATTTATGAAAATCCTTCCCATATTAGTTTGGACATTACAGTTAGTAGATGGATTAAACCATATAATGCTGCATTTATGGTGTTTCTGCTTGTTTTTACATTCTTTGTTTATTTCTAAATACTTAAAATTTACTTTATGATTACTTAGTTCTGAGACCTTTATATATTTAATTTAAGATTTATCAAATACTTCCTTATTGATGGAGTTGGTGAATAATGTAACTTGAACTGATTAATGCAAATTAAAATTTTGTGGTGGTGGCTTGATTCTTTACTAATGTATCTATGGTTCTTCATGTCTAAAATCTAAGTCACCACAATAATAGAATTCCAACAAGTTTGCATGCCTCTACTGAATCATATGCTCCTATAGCAATACTAAATTCTGGGTTACTTCTTTTTGCCCACAGATAATCATTATGGAATAGTATAGGTTTTCGTGTCTGCTTTATGATATTCATTCCATGATTGCTAATAGGACAGTAATTTATTGATAGATTTATAGCTGACATTAGTTGATTCTTACTGATGGATGGGTAAAAGATACAAATATCCAATTAGATGACTGTACATTCATCCTTCCTTTTTATCTTAGTAAACCATTCTATGGCTTCAGCTGCTTTGTGCAACTGATTAATCCTAGAGTATTTTTTATGTATTTACATGCTCTTTCAAGATAAATTGTCTTATGATCTTTAATTGTGATGAAGGCTTGTTGTTTGTGTAATTTGTGGATCCTATCATCAATTTTTAAACAGTCAGTCTATACACAGCACCTGAAGATTTCATTATGCATGAAACTCAGAGTTGTGCTAGTGGTGAGGTATTTATATATATATATATATGGTATTTAGTCAAAAGTGCTCAATATCCGTGATAGAGCTAACATACATGGTTGCATGGATAGTAGTTTGTAACCCTGAGTTTCATGCTTTTGCGATCTTCAGACAAACTGATTTATTTTTTTCAAAAGTGGATCTATTTATGCTTTATCTATGTTTGATTATTTGTGTGGTGGAGGGGGAAAATTTTCTTCTGCGTTTGTTTAGGATGACACTCACATATACATAGAAACACATACATACAGGTGTACATACTGTTGTAGAGTGGTTTCACAGTGGAGGCTTGTATTTGTAGTAAGTCGGTCCTAAAATAGGTTCGACGTACAAAACGTTAGGAACTTGATATAATAGGTAATGACGCAGAGAAATCTAGTGGTGGTCACTGATACTTTTAGTATCCGACTAACGGTCATTCGACATCGACTGACTGACCAACTCCCTGAGCGACTGCTACTACTCCTACTTATTATAGGTGGGAGAGTCTATTAACAATAGAATAGGTGTGTTCCACTATAACATCCCCCTCCTAAAACTTTACTCCGTAGGAGTAAACAGTTTTATTTATTTATTTTTCATTTTTTTTTACAGGAAATATGAAGAAAAAACAACAAAAAAAAATTCATTTTTCTTTCTTTTTTTTTTTTAGCAACATCATAGCATATTTCCTACGTTTTTTGATCCACTTTTAAATGATCAGTTGCCTTTCTTTTTTTCTTCTGGATCGGAGTACCTCAGGTAAAATTGTTGCAGGCATTGTTAGATCAAACATATTGAAAATCACCTCCATTGGCGTTTTTTCCACGGGACCACTGTTAACATCTGATCTGGTTACTGCATGTGAATTTTTCCCCTTTCACCAAGTACATCATATTGCCAATCTGCTTTTCTATTTCTTGGTAGCTCCATAATGTTACCAGAAACAACCATCTGCTTTGAGCTTCTTAAGGATGGAGTCACAGTTTCTGTAGGTTCTTCTTGTGGTTCTATTTGTTCAGCCTCTAGCTTTCCTTTTGTTGATCTTGTGCTTCTTAACATTTTCTGTGGTGACTTCAGTTGACTTAAATCATTTAATATTACTGCATGTCCTTGGCTGCGGGTAACTCGCTCCCCAGTTTTTCTCGGTGTTGGCTTCATCTTTACTTTCTGGAGCTTGTTTTTCACATATAGCGTCGGTGTTACCCATTCACCTTTTTTAAATACACCGGTTTTCTCTAATCTGTCCAATTTATCTATCTGTTCAATTGAAGCAAACAGCACATTCCTTTTCTTTTTGAATACCGCCTGAGCGTTTTCTTTTGGCTGTAATTTTGCCTCCATCATGGTACACGTTCCCAAACCTGGAGAAAAAACAGTAGGAAATGTTCCCTTAAGTTTCCTTACTAATTTTGGGGCTTCTGAGTTTAAACTTTCAACCTTGTAACAGAAAGAATTTATCGGTAGATCCCATAATTGTAATTCTGTTATCCAATTCGTACCACGCAAGTTCATCGTATTTTCTATGACAAATAGTTTAGCTTTTCACGTTTTTTTTATTTAATGTGACATTTGTAACAAATTTTCCAATAAATTGTATTTTTTCTCCCATCAGTGACCTCGCGATTTTATTTGTCTTCATTAAAGTTGGTTTCCCCAACTTCTTCCACGTATACAAATTTATGATAGATAGGTCGGAACCAGTGTCGAGTTGCATTTTTATTTTTTTTATTACTTATTTCAATGGTAACAAATTTTCTGGTTATTCCATCGTTCACTTCGTCGGACTTTAATTTTCTTATTTTATTGTCTTTATTTTTTGACCTGCAGTGCGAGCTTTTATGACATACTCTTTTACAGTTGAAACATTTTTTTATTCCTAAAATTGCAATATCTGTACCAATGAAGTTCACCGCAAGCAAAACATGGCTTCGGGAGTTTTTGTTTACTTTTCTCTGGTATTTCACTTTTTGTTTGATAATCTGCAATTTTAGAATTCTTTTTGGTAGACTGACTTTCTTTTTTGTAGCATATTTTCCTAACATGTGAAATTCCAGACTGTTCTATCTTTTTCGAATCTTTCTTTACGCTAACATATCTTATGCAGTCTTCTGCCAACTTCTTTATCGAAATCCTTGGTTCATTTTCTAATTTTGACAGTACTAATTTTCTCAACTCTGCGTCTCTTTCCGATACCAGGCCTTGAACAAACACTAAGCACTTAAAATTGTCAGCGCTTAACTCTTCCTAATGCTTATTTACATTGGCTGCGTACGTTATATAGTCTTGTTTGTCATCTTTCATCAGATTCAAACATTTCCACCTCTTGTGAAACAAAGATGTCTTTTTACTAAATAATTCACTTAATATATTTACCGCCTCGGTAAAAGTCAACTCGCTAGTTTTTTTTTCGGTAAAATATAGTTTACCAATTTGTTATGCTCAACAGTTCCTAACTTGCTTAAAAAAAGCCTAACCGTCTTTCCTTTAGACCACGAGTGGCAGTCCTTGTTATACACGTCCGTATATTTTTTATAATACTCTTCAAAAGTTATCTCTTCATCTGGACTACGTGAATATTTCAATTGAATTCCATGTTATATTCTCTGGGAAAGAATCATTTTGTAGATTTTTCTCTTTCCTCTTCAGTTATTTCCAGAATTTTGTTTTGAAACTCCTTATGCATCCGTTCCATTTCTTGTTGAAACTGCATCTATCTATTAAAAGTTTCCTCCTGTAGCTGCATCTGGAATGTTTTCTGTTACTCTAATATTGTCATCTGTTGTTCCGTCTGGAACATAAAAAATTCCTGTAATATATTTTTGCATTCCTCCATCTTCGCAAAAAGTTTACACAATGCTTAAATATTGTAGAGGGGGGTCCTAACAAATTTGCAATTCGTGACCCATTTGAGCAAACTGTCTTATAGAGAAAAAAAAAGAAAAATTTCTTTTCTCAGTTGAAAATACGACTGATTTTTTCAGCCGTATTTTCAACTGAGAAAAGAAATTTTTTTTTGACGTCTTGTCTTTCGAAAAACTTTGCTAAGTTTTTTTTTTTTTTACGTATGAATCCAAGATTTTGTTGCTGAAATTGTGACAAGCAAGTTTTTTCTTTTTCCTCCGTATGAGTACGAATTTTTTTTTTCTTCCACCGTATGAATTTTGAATCCCTTCGCCAAATAATACTGTGGTAAACGCAATTTCTTTTTTCCTCTGTATGAGTTTGAATACTTGTGGCCAAATTTGTTATGGCGGGTGAAATTTTTTTTTTTTTTTCTTCCAACGTACGAGTTTGAATCCTCGTCGTCAAGTGTTGTAGAGTGGTTTCACAGTGGAGGCTTGTATTTTTAGTAAGTCGGTCCTAAAATAGGTTCGACGTACAAAACGTTAGGAACTTGACAAAATAGGTAATGACGCAGAGAAATCTAGTGGTGGTCGCTGATACTTTTAGTATCCGACTAACAGTCGTCCGACATCAACTGACTGACCAACTCCCTGAGTGACTGCTACTACTCCTACTTATTATAGGTGGGAGAGTCTATTAACAATAGAATAGGTGTGTTCCACTATAACATATACGTTAGTTTGTACATCCACACCCATATTCATAATCTTGGGTTAGGCACAGTTACACATTCATACATTTGAGCACACATATTTACGCAATTTTCATTCTGTCTATTTCAGTGTCAAGATTATAGAGTTTCATATGTAGCAATGTTCTCTAAGTAGGGGACAGGGGGGAGTGGCTTTGACATTTTTCAGGTTGGTTGTTTATGCTGGCAGACAAGCTCACACATGTATGTAGCTGCAGATCCATGTACATTGATTTGGGTCTGCTACCACCACATGGGTTAAGTTGGCTTCTGTCTACAGACATGGTGATGATGTTTGTATTTTTTTTAACAACAATAACTGCTGCTGTGTTAATAACAATTGTGATAATGTTAATGGTAATATTAGGTGTGATATTATTATTGATATATTGATAATAATTGATTTGTTATTGATTATAATGAACAGTAAGCATGAAACCCTGGGTTACAAACTACTATCCATGCAACTGCACAATGAAATAAAGTTATAATATGGATAAATGAGATCTAAAATGTAAAACATATATATATATATATATAATTTATATTTATAATTTATCTAATTTATCCAAATTATAACTTCTTTCAGCAAGATGGAACACCTCCCCATTATGCTTTAGCAGTAAAGGACTACTTTAACCAAACCTTTCAACAGCATTGGTTCGGAAGAGGGGACAGCATTAAATGGCTTCCATATTCACCTGACCTAACACCAATGGATTTCATTTATGAGAGAAATCCCCACACAAAAGGCAAATTAAAAGAGTACATCTGAAATATTTCTTATTATTGAAATTGATGCAGATCAGGATTTGTGTTGTGCTGTGTGTCATTATGTTCTGGAGTAGTTTGAGGAAAGTTGCAATATTGGGGGAGGACATTTTAAGCACTTCAGAGATTAAATTGTGCTAAAAACAAAAATGTAAGTAAAGTATTAACCAAATGTACATAAACAGTTTTGAATAAATATGACTGTAACAAATAAATGTAATAAAATATTTTTAAAAAAAATGTAAAATGCATACCTACAAAGTGTAAGCCTCCTTTTAGTCCACCCTGCCTATTTTTGTATATAGAGAAGTAAAGAATATATCTTTAGAATTTTTGAGAAGGAAAAAGTAGGGAGAGGTGTTCTTTACCTTAGCAGCATTGATGACCGTGGCCGCATAAGACTGTGATCCATCCCCAGACATGCCTCCACAAGACTGATGTACAGAAACAAGCTGAAAACAAATGTTTAGAATGATAGATAAAATGCATCACAGATATTCTCAACTAAAGACATCAGAAAAAAGTGTACGACTCAATTGAAACAAAGATGATGGCTGAATTTGAATCAAAATTCAATCTACTTCATGATTACCTGTTCATCTGAATACACCATACCTCACTGCAAACGTGCTTGTTTTCACTTCAGAAGTCAGTGTACCGATAATGAGGGAGGATATACTGATGACATAGGTGTTCAGAGATGATCTAAAAATGATCTTGAACAAAAGATCAATATTCTGTACAAAGTGTTCCAAGAATTTGAACTTAATATAAACCTTTCTAAAACAAAACAAAACAAAAAAAAACATGATCTGGAATTTGTATGAGAGCAGTGATGGCTTAGACCCTGAATTTATCATAAAAATTCAGAATGTGGATTTAGTAATGTTTAACCTTCATGACTGAAAAAATATCATTTAAAAGAACAGCTATTCCTATGACACCACTGTTATTGTATACACTTTTGACTCCCTTGGTAATGTTTATTTACAAGATTATAAAAATATGTGAACAAGTGATATTTATTATTTATATTTATTAAGTAATTTAAGTAATTATTTATATTTTATAAGTAACTGAAAACTATTTTAGTGAGTTTATATGGCAAAAGCTAATGGATGAAAGGTCTGGAAAATGCAATTTTTCAAAATTTATAATTATAGTATATTTTTCCTTATGGGTTTATTTAAATTATTTTGTTTGCAGACATTTTTATAAATTTATGTATAAAAAAAAATTCTTTTCATATTTATTTCTTTATAAATAATAAATATTTCATTACAGTTGGTTTCTATATTCTTCGAATGTTGCAATTATAAAATTATTCTTGTAAATAAGCAACCTAATAAATAAATAGGATTTAATATCTTTGTTGTCAATCCTCAAGAATAAAGAAAATGTATAAATCCACTTTCATATGTTTGGGTTTTATTAAAATTCTAATTATTGCTTTTTAAAACAAACATTGCTGAGGGGGGTCAAAAGTGTGTACAGTAATCAAAGGAATAACCCTCCTTTTGAGATCATTATTTTGCAGTCACAAAAATTAAACATTCGTGTGGATTTGATAAATTCTAATCACTTCAAATATATCAGTATCTGGATCAATTATAACAAATTTCAGATAGGAGATAATGAAGCTGAATGCAGGTTGTGCTTGGGGTTATTTTGCTCAGAACTCTAAGATGTTACAAAACCAAAATATCGTATTCTTACATAGCCTCATCAGATTTAAACTTTCATATGGACATCATACATGGTGTCCAACTGCTTAAGAAATGTCTAAACAGTCATATGCATACAACCATTCTTTCCGATCAATGATTAAAAATGGCTTCAAGCAAATGAATTCTTTAGGTCTTAAGACATTCTTCCATAAGATGAACTTGTGCTACAACTGTCCTGGATATGATGATAAACTACATCCTGCAGCATGGCCTCTGATCAGGAGGTTTTGAGGAGTATGGAACCACCTCTTAATTGCCGTTGTTCTCAGATCCACCATGACCTAAGGTGGTTGCACCTGTTAGGGTCCCAGCTATGGGCAAATAGTGAAGGGATCAAAACATTATGAAAATATAAAAATACATTTTTATAATAAAAATTCCAGCAAAAGATTTTAATGCTAAAACAAGAATTACCAAAGCTCCCAAGAAAACTAAATTTTTACATTAAATGACCCATAAGGTGTTGATATGCCATTTAACAAAGAAAACCGTGCTACAAAAGGACAAATAAAGAGCTTTACCAAATAACAAAAGCCATAACACTTGGACAATTTGTAAGTGAAAAGATTTCTGTATGTTGCCAAAATATCTACTGGTATAAATACAGATGAGCAACAAAAATACGTTCTATTTAGCAAGCAAAAGCAGCAGTTTACACATGTGAGATGCTTACATTTGTTCAGACAAAAATTCCTATATCAACAAGCTAAAAACATGAACCGGGATATTCTTTTTTTTTTTTCCATTTCCAACAGTGAATACACATGACCCATGGGCATATTTCGTTCTATGAGAAAAGTGACTGCTTTCATTGCTACACATAACACAGTAACAAGCATAGGATGGTTGTCTTTCATTTCTTTGCAGAGTGAGAGCTTCACCATCATCTCTCTTAACCACTGCCAGAGTCATAGGCTCTGCTCATTACCAAAAGTTAACTCCATGCTAGTCAAAGTTCCCTAAACATGCATGCATGCCATTGACCAGAAGTGAAATACATTTGGCTACTCCAATATGGTAATGAAGAAAAAAAAATGTTATAACCTTTAGAACAAGACACAAACACTACTAAACATTTTAAGCTGTTTTTCAACAGACCTTTTTAATTGTCATATTAACAATTTGCATCTTGATATAATGTAATGGTTAGCAGGCTTGTCTCACTAGAAAAGTGAGTTCAATCCTCACTGGGTTCTTCATACTTTTGTCCTATATTAACATTTTGCAAATCTCCAAAGGGTGATTATCTCATTGTGCAATTGTGCCATTACACATGCTAAATCATTTTTTCATTGACAAAGATAAAAAAAGAATTTGACTTGATTCTAATTCCCCTGTGAATTCTTTTTTGAATGTGTAAACCTTAATCTGTAATCAAGCAGTATTTTACTGAAAATTTCTTAAAGGAAATCATAATATAGGAATTCAGCCAATGATGCAATATATACAGTAAATTATATTAATTTTTTAAAAAAAGTTGAATCTCTACAGAATTTTTTAAAATACCAGTATATTAGATATTTAAATACTTTCTATTGATTTTTCTTAAAGCTAATTTTTTTAACAACTGAAGTAAATGAAAAAAAAAAATAAAAAGTCAACTATTCTTATTTTTAATGGCAAAATGTTTTTAAAAATTTAATTCTTCTGACAACAGATTTCTGGTTGTTTGCATCAATCTCCAAAAATGGGAGAACACTTACAGAAAGTCAGACTTTAACCATGAACATTTTTTTTTTTTAGAGTAGAGATATTTTTTTTGTAATTAGGAAGAAAAAAAATTACAGTAATTAAAAAATAAGAGACATACTCTTTTGTCAGCATAGGCCAACCATCTTGGTCCAAGGACAACAGGATTTACATTAGGTCCAGGACAAGGGTAACAATCTAGAATCAAAAAGAAAAAGGGGAACAATTAAAAATAAATAAATGAAAAACATGTGCACACACCAAAAACAAACAAACCAAAAAGAATAACTTTGGAGTAAACAAAATGCCAAACATTTGTAGTGCAGAGCAAGATTTCTTTTGCTAACTTTTCTAGTAGAGATTTGAAATTGACATTTTTTATTTACCAGAGTTTATGTATTTAAAAAATTTTTTTTTATTTTAAAAAATTACTTAACTTTTAAATATCAATTTTATCCCAACTTCAAAGTTTCTTTGTAAAATTTCCAGTCTTCAAGGGGTTCTGGTTTTAAATATTTCCAATTTTTTTTTCAATTTGTTCTGCATCATTTTCAATCCGTTTTTGTACATGTGAGTATTCCTGAATGTTCTTTTGTACACATACGTTCAAGAAATTTTGCTTTTGTTACATCTTTTTCTTCAGCTGTAGATTTTTCTTCCAGCTGTAAATATTTCCTTTGAAATAATTTTTTTTTTTATAGTTTATACAGAAGTTGTTATGTTCTATTATTAATCAAAGTATTTGTTAATTTTTATTGTTAATTAAATTATATTTTAGTCAATATTTTTAATTAATATTTTAATTGATTTATTATGTTATATTATTATTAAAGTAACAAAATAAATATTTGTTAATATGTAAGCATCGACCCATTATTTCATTCTTATTTAATTTAATAATCACCTGAGCATTGACTTCAATGTTCACTTTTATATCTACATATGCTCTATTTCTGATAGTAATTTTAATAATGAATATGCTTATAAAATGTGTAAATTTCAGGAATTATCTATTCCAAAAAAAAAATTTCGCTTGAAGATGGAACAGAGCTTGGTACTTTAATTCAATTTAATTCAAATAATTATATTGAAGTTTTCGGCTCTTGTTTTGAAACATGAGAACTCTTATGTAGCGTTGGAATCATATATATATATATATAAGTCAGTTTTATGGTCATGGTTAGTTTTACGGTTAGGCTTAGTATTGAAAAAATTAAATGATTTTTGTCAGTAATTATAAAATTAAAAAGACTATATCTTACTTGCAATTAACAGAAATTCAGCAAATTTTTTTTGTTATTGATCTTCCTTTATATGATTTATATAAAAAGAAAAAAAAAAGAAGAATGTTATTTCATCTGAAGAAATACTTGACTGTTAATGTCCCTCTCAAAAGTATAGAAAATACCAAAATATTCCCTGTTTGCAGGGATATTTATATCTTATCTAGGAATGTGACCCATTTATTCGCATTTAACCTTCTGTTTTCTTTCATTTTTATACGTCTTTTGCATATCTCCTTTGAATATTTTTGAGGGATAGCATATGTTGAAATACGTTTTTAATACTGAAAATCCTATATTGCTCACCAAACTGATGATATCACCAAGGTTAGGAAACTCCTTTCTAACTGAACAATGGGAGATTTTTATATTCACTGAAACAAAAAGAATCTACAAAGAAAATGTCATTTGTGGAAGTTCTACTTTAAAATGATTTTAGTCAAATCAAACATTGGCTGTTGTAAATGCATTTTTCTAACAAATGGCAGTTTCAACAAACAACTGTCTGTTAACAAATGAAACTCATGCTACATTTAAATTCTGTATGCAAGGGTCAACATGGTGGGGTGTTATAATCCTCCCATAGGCCACATCAAGCCATACAGAACCTTTGACCTTGACTGAGGGAAGTGATATTGCTTTATTAAAAATGGAAAAAAAAAAGAAATGATGAACCTAAATGAACACAATCTTTTATGTGCTGTTTCCTTTCAGGATGTGGTCGATCATGACTCCACAACTTCCTATCCTTTGTAGCTCTTAGTAGGGTTTGTATTTTCACCATCCCTTTCAGTGCCTGTTCTGCTATCCATTTACACAAGCTTGTTACAAAGGTTACTCACTGCTTTCACCTGTCTTCAATGTCTTGGGAGTGTCAGATTCTCCAAGCCCTCTTTTCTAGAAATTTCAAACATCTCTTTCTGATACTAAATATAAGCATCTTTTCTGTTTGCATTAGCCTTAAAACTTCTTCATTGCTCACATATTCAGCCCATGGTATTCTGATCATCCTTTTGTAGAACCAGATTTCTGCTGCATCAAGTCTCCTCTTCATCAGTTGTGAGATTGTCCAGCATTCACTACCATAGAGGAGGATTGAGATTACATAACAGTTCAGTACTCTTTTCTTTGTTTCTAATGATATTTTCTCCATTTCTTAATACTTTGCTTTAGAAAGGCCTCTTTCACTATTCCAACACGCCTTTGAATTTCACTGTCATATTTTCTGTCCTCTGTTAGGACACTTCCCAAATATTTGTACTTTTGTACTTGCTTGATTTTGACTTCTACAATTCATAGTTCACTTCTTGAGTCCTTCCTCTTGTTGACTGTAATAGAAGTGACAGTGACTTACCAGGAGCAAAGCGAATTCACTGCCTTGCGTGTCGAACCATTCTCTGAGAGTTGGTCGCACGTGCATACACCTACTGCCATTTTTATGCAGCAGACTTATTTGCCTAAGAGAACAACGCTACCCATTAAAAACCAGGTGAGTGGATGTGGGAGGGCACTGGTATTCTTGGCTTCGGCGAGACTAGACGTAGTGCTGACAGAAAGCGACAGCAATTTCTGGACATCTGACAAGCTATTTCGGCAAACATGGATGGCCGGTTTGATTTAAAAATTATTCCAGAGTTTGACAGGACTGGATCTGTGGTTGGATGGCTCGAGAAGTTGGAATTGGTGTGCAACCTATCGGGAGTGAAGCGGCTTGATTGTGTCATCCCTCTTCGCTTAACCAGGGCAGCATTCGCAGTTTAGCAGCAACTATCTACAGAAGAGAAATTGGACGTGGTGCAAATCAAGGGAGCATTGATGACAGCATTTGCCCCTGATAAATTCACCGCATACGAACAATTCGAGGCACGTGTATGGCATCCAGGTGAGACCGTAGATGTATATTTGGCAGATCTACGGAAGCTGTCCGTCCTTTTTGGAGGAGCGCCAGACAGTGAGATGACGTGTGTTCATGCGGGGGCTTCCTGATCCCGTGAAAAGGCTCCTGCGGTCCTCGGCCAGGGCGGATGATATGTCTCTCGAGGAGCTATTGGCCCAAGTAATCATAAAGAACAAGACAGCAGAGAGGGAACCAGTCGTCGCTGTGGTGCAGCCCTCCCAGACTCCTCGATCTTCCCCAGACATGGGCCCACTTGTCACATGCTATGAATGTAATGAGCCCAATTATTTCACGAGGGACTGCGTGAAGAGGCGAAGGGCAACTAACACGTGTTGCTATCGATGCAACAAGACCGGTCATCTGGCCAAAAATTGTCCGGAAAACGGAGGCGGGGACGAGACTTCAGCATCGGTCCACTCCCCAAACAGCAAGTAAACTCGGTGCTACCCATCATTACTGTGTGTGTTGACGGCACACCATGCTCGGCTCTCCTTGACTCTGGGTGCTCACGGTCAATCTTGAGCGCGAGTTTATGTCGGTCATGGTCGAAGCAGGGTATGGCGGTATCTACATTAACCGGAGCTACGCAGGCTTGCTGTGGAAGGGGCACCATCAGAATTTGCACAGCAACCGATAATACTGCTACAATCGATGTGCTGGTTATGCGAGGGAAGCCCCTGGGTTTCGACCTGTTGCTTGGCATCGACGCCATTAAGGCACTCGGTGGAGTTTGCATCATGCAGCATGGAGTTTGAAAAACCACGGTCCGTCTGTGCAATTTGTATCAGTGAAGCTGATTTCAGTGCGAAATTCAATGAACAGCAGGGAGTTTGGGTCGCAGCCTGGAAGTGGTCGGCAGGTCATGCACCAGGGAAACTTCAGAATCAGATCTCTGAATATCCAGTATCCAGCGAGATGAGAGAGGAGTACGAGCATGAATTACAAACATGGATGAACAATGGTTGGTTGGTGCTGTACAGTAACAAGGAGTTTGGCCCGCCCAAGAGACTGATACCACTGATGGCTGTGCTGCAGACCAACAAGCATAAGGTGCATCCTGTGATGGAGTATCGAGAACTGAATACCTACATTGAAATGTTCACAGGTGCCGCAGCTGTTTGCACAGAAAAACTGCGAGACTGGAGACAGCAGGGTGCAAACCTGTCCATTCTGGACCTCAGGAAAGCATATCTACAGATCCGTGTTGAAAAATCCCAGTGGCCATATCAAACAGTTATGTTTAAAGGGAAGCGATATTGTTTGACCAGGCTGTGGTTCGGCCTGAATATAGCACCCCTGATAATGCGAGTTGCGCTCAAGGCTGTGTTAGCACAGAATGAAACTATAAATAGAGCAACGTCAGCATATATTGACGATATATATATATCAACGAGGATGCGGCGTCGGCAGAATCTGTGAGGAAACATCTTGAGCTCTACGGAGCCAGAGTGCTGGGGCTAGAAGTATGGAAGGAACAGGGTCAACTGTGATGGCGACGAGGAAGTAGAATGATAAACGGCCCTATGACTATGACACGGAGAGGTATTTTCTCCATGTGTGGCCGGCTGGTGGGACACGTCCCCGTGTGTGGATGGCTGCGAGTGGCGACAGGCGTCATCAAACGTCGAGCCACTGCCATAACGCAAAACTGGGACGACAAAATTTGTGATGCTCCCCTGGAACGTATGATAACGGACACCCTTGCCCGGGATCAGCAACTGGATCCTGCACAGGCAGAATGGTGCGTGAATATGAAGGAGCTAGACGTGTGGGTGGATGCGAGTTCCCTGGCTGTAGGAGTAGTGCTCAAGGCTAAGGGAGCCATCATCGAGGATGCATGCTGGCTACGGCCGATAAAAAACACCCCGCATATCAATCTGGCTGAAATGGATGCCGTGCTGAAGGGAATCAACCTCGCGCTAAAATGGCAGGCTATGGTATTACACGTGAACACAGACTGCCTCTGCATGTACCATTGGGTGACTAATGCACTTACGGGAAAGTTTCGGCTGAACACCAAAGCCACTAGAGAGATGCTCATAAGGTGACGACTTGAAACTAACTTCTCTTGTGAAAGAGTATAAACTTTCGGTTGACATAGCGCTAGTTAGATCCAACCAGAACCAAGCTGACTTGTTGACTAGAGTTCCCCAGAGGTGGTTCAACAATGTGAAGGAACTCAAACCTGTTCAACCAGTATGTGCTGTTGCCGTAGGAAACCCGAGCCCTGCTCAGTTAACTGAGATTCATCGACACAGCAGGCACCCTGGAGTTAAACGGACACTATATTTCACATGTAGGATCAACCCGTCAGTGTTGAAAGCAGCAGTGAGATCAGTTGTTCGCAGTTGTGAACAGTGTCAGTCAATAGATGCAGCTTCTGTGCGATGGCAGAAGGGAGAGCTCAGTGTGCGTGAAACTTGGAGCTGTCTGGGAATGGACATCACACACTATAACGGTCGCTATTTTTTGACTCTGATCGATTGCGGCCCCACCCGTTTTCTGATCTGGCGGCCGCTAGTTCAGCAAGACACTGCACACGTAATCCGGCAATTGGAGTCGGTGTTTTTCGAACGTGGTGCCCCAGTGGAGATCCTGGCTGATAATGACACTGCATTCCGCAGTCAGCAATTCAAACAATTCACAGAAGAATGGGGCATCCGATTCCGACCGCACTGCACGTACAAACCATCTGGAAATGGTATTGTAGAGAGGTGTCATCGGACAATCAAACGGATTGCTGTGCGAAAGAGCTGCTCTATTATGGAGGCCGTGTATTGGTATAACATCACACCCAGAGATGATGTGTCTGCCTCTTCTGCGCCCGCCAATCTGCTGCATTTGTACAAAATTCAAATAAAAGGAATTGATGTTGTGCCCTCGCCTAACCAGGCGACTTCGACTCGGTATAAAGAAGGAAACGCAGTTTGTGTAAAAAAATCCGCACGGACACTGCATATCAAAGTTTGTGAAAGGTCTTGTCACGGGGATAAACAGTCTACAGTCGGCAGTCATCGATGGGATACCGCGGCACGTGGGAGATGTACATCCACGGCTCACTTCATTGTTACCAGCGAATGATGGCAGTGATACAACGTCAGGGAGTCATGAATGGCAAGAACCAAGCTCTATTGCAAGCAGCAGCGACACCTCATCCGAAAGCGAGAAAGAAGTAGACTTGATCCTTATTGATCCTCCGGAATATGATTCAGTCCAGGACACATCTGACGATTCAGCTGGGGAGGAAGACATGGTTATACTACTGCGAAGGAGTGCAAGGGTGAAATGAACAGCCCATCACTGTCACTTATGTGATCATACGATCAGGGGAGAGTGTAATAGAAGTTATAGTGACTTACCAGGATTCGCTGCCTCGCGTGTCGAACCATTCTCTGAGAGTCGGTTGCACATGCATACACCTACTGCCATTTTTATGCAGCAGACTTATTTGCCTAAGAGAACAACACTACTCATTAAAAACCAGGCGAGTGGACATGGGAGGGCACTGCTATTCTAGGCTTCGGCAAGACTAGATGTAGTGCTGACAGAAAGCGACAGCAATTTCTGGACATCTGACAAATCTACACTCTGTCTTCTTACAAATGCTGCTTAGTCCTTTCTTCTTGCTTTTATTTACTAGTTTTATTTTTGCCTTCTATCAGCATGGCTAATGCTAACCTTCAAGAAAGTGACTTACACCCTGTCAAGCTAATGTTCTCAGCTGACATGAAGTGGAAAGACCATATTGAATCTATTGCTAGGTCAGATACTAAGAAAGTTGGTTCACAGTGTCATGCTAGGCAATTTTTTCTCTCCAGAATCTATCTTGCATATCTATAAGTCTACCACTCATCTTTGCTTAGAACATTGATTCTCAGGTGATTTTCAACTGTCATGCCACAGCACACTAGTGTGCCATGAAATATTGTCACTGCATACATATATGTGTATGTGTGTAAGTAGTAATGATACAATGTTGGTATTTGAATAAATGAATAAGCATTAAACTTTTTTCAAATAATTCTTTTCACTATTCTTCAATTATGTTATTTTAAATAATTTGTTTTAATATTCATTTTTTAAAAAGTATTTTTATTTTTTAAGGGGTCAAAATAAAATATTTGACAGTACCCATTGATACATTTTGGATTTCAATACAAAAGGAATATCCTACATTAGTTAAAGAGGCTTTATCAGTTTTATTGCAATTTTCTACTTACTTATATGAATTGGGTTTTGCAACCTTAAATAACATCAAAAATAAGTGAGAAAGACTACGCTCAACTGAAGAAGAAATAAGAAATGTGTATCTGCTTATCGCACATTCAACTAAAGATTGAAGAAATCGTAAAAAAAAAAAAAAAAAAAGGCAGTTTTCACACTAAATAAGCTGCACAAATAGAAACATTGAAAGAAAATAAGTTCATATTTGTGTGTGCATTTTTTTTCTCAAATCTATGGTTTTATTTCATAACCTTTAAGTGTATACCCTTTAAAAGTTTTGCTAAGAATATTGCTGCTATATATGGTCGGGAGATAAAATCCAAAGAATCAGTGTTATTGGTCCTGATCTAGTGTCTCACCTTCAGTCACTTTGCGACCACTGTAAAGTCACTTCCCTGTGCCTTTTCTATAAATACTTTTATGGCAATTGTTTGAATGAGCTCTTCACTATGGTACCTAGACTTTATGAATTTAAGCACAGTACTAGACTGGTTTCATCAATTTACAGTCAAGTTGGTTAGATGTAGCATTAAGTTCTCTGCTAACAGTTTCTTTTCTCGCACTTCCCACTTGTGGAACTCTCTTCTGGCTCCATGCTTTCCAGTCAACTTTAATCTTCAAAAATTTAAATGGAATTTCAATCACTATCTTATTGTCCTCCTCACTAATCTTCTTTTGTTCTCGCTCCTTAGTAATGTTTCAGTTTTCTAATTCTTTCACACCCAATAACCGCTTGTTTCATAGTGGCTTTACTGCCTTGCTGGAGATAAATATGCTTTTTAAAAAAAAAAAAAAAAAAAAAAAAATATATTGAGAGACTGTTTTTTCTAAACAGTCAATTATTTAGGAAAACAAAACTCTTTCTGATACCAGACACGTCTTTGTCAAGGTCTTTTCATTCATGTCAGCTTGGTTCTCTTATGCACATACAATTTAAGAGGTCAGCTTATACACTGGCACATGTAGTAAATCATATTTGAACATATAAATATGAAAGATATTGTGATTTATTTTTCAAAATGAAGAAAGAATCTCACTTGTGACCCAAAACAACTGCCGAAATTGACAAGCTTCAAAGACAGCCATCTTCTCTGCAAAAACTGTGATAACAACCCTGGAAAAAAGTAGAGGCAATGAAGAAAAAATGGAGTTAAGAAAAGAACAAGAAATTTGCATACAACAAAATACCATAATTGCTGGCCTATTGGACACAAATTTTCTCCCAAAATATGCACAAAAATTGCCCTGCATCCAATACAGCATTGTTATGTATAAGAGGGACATGAAAACCAAGAAAAAAAAAAAGAGGTTCACTAGGAATCAGTGCATGCATAGAGGCTAGCTCTGAAAATAGGACCCCTGCAAGTGAACAAACATGATATCAATAAAAAATACCCCCGAAAAATTCACCTAGAAAAAAGAAATTTATGGAATTGCATGATATTTTGCTGTTTGTTTTGTAGAAACCCCAGATTTTACAAAAATATTTTGCTTTTGATTGGTATTTTGCTGCTTTTGTGGATATACAAGTATTGGAATTTGTTTTTCTGCATGTATGGTAAGAGACTTCATTAACCAACAAGTACCATGTTTCTGTTATTTTGCCTATTACTATATGTACCAGTGTTCACCGAAACCAGTAAATTTCTTTGTAGCTTTTATGAATTTACTATATGTGCAGATGTTGCTCCCTGAAAAATAACTAAAACAATTTTCAATAATTGCATGAAGAATTGTGCTAAAATTTTTCTTACTTGACTTCTTTATAAAAAAAAAAAAAAAAAAAAAAAAAAAAAAAGTATATATTTTGTTAAGTGTTTCTTCATGGTTAATGATAAGGTCACATAAAAGTAAGGTTATGATTTTTAATATTTTTGTTTGTGATGTGCGCATTTTTTTCCTAAATATTCCTAGCTAATGCGTGAGTGTGTCCAATAGGCCATCAAATACAGTACTTTCTTTGCTCACTAATTAAATAAAAAATAAAAAAAGGATGTCAAGTGATCTAGGAAATGAAAAATGAACATAATGGTTGTATTTTATCTTCGGACTGAAAAATCAAGTAACACACTTGGTAGAGCATCTGACGTACACTACAGTTCAAAAGTTTGAAGCCACTCCCAGAATTAGCATGGGATGAACTTGACAGAAGAGTGAAAAAAAAAAAAAAAAAAAAAAAAAAAAAAAAAAAGAAAAGAAAAGAGCTCTTAGAAAAGTTATTGAAAAAAGAATGGAATCAATTATCAAACTTATACTTTAAGAAACTTTTGCAATGAATGCCAAAAATTTGTGCTGCTGTAAAAAGGAGAATATTTTGATGAGAGCAAAATTTAATCATAAAATGATTTATTTTCTTTTTGTCATAATAAAATTTCTAATAAAAAGTCATGTCTTAATTGTTTCTAACCATATATAATAATTTTCTCTTATTTAAATTACAAAACAACTACTTTTTGGGCCAATATAAAAAAATTACCAGGAGTGGCCTCAAACATTTGAACTGTAGTGTATATAGACAGACTTCCAGAGATAAAATGGACAAGGGTTCAAGTCTTTATTTCCAATCCAGGCTACTTATTAACATAGACTCTGAGGACTCAAGTTCAATAAAAATTAACCAAAAGATAAAAGAAGAAACTTGTCAAAAATCTTACTTATTATAAAACGCAGGTTGTGTGTGTGTGTGTGTGTGTGTGTGTGTGTGTGTGTGTCTGTAACGTTTATATGTTGGATCGAATTTCCTACATTTTTTAGCCGATTTCAACAAAACTTCACAGGACTACATAAAATTACCTTGTGGTGGTTCTAACGGGGCCGAAAATGGGAAAAATACAGTTGTTTTTTAATAAAATCAATTTGAAAACACGATTAAAACACATCGTGAGAATGAAAGGGGGACAACTCACCCACGAAAATGTAAACAAAACAGCATAGCATGATGAAAAAGACGCCGAACTTGACAAAAACAAAATTTTATCGTCTAATGTTCATATTATTATTAAAGAGGAAAGATCAAAGTATTTTGGGGGTATTTTTTTACATTTTTTAATCGTTCCTAGCACGTCTGAAATTTTCGTTAAAAATATTGTTTTTTTTTGGTCAAAAAAAAAAAAAAGGGCAGATAATCATTTTCAATCATTTTTTTCGATTTGATAAAAAAGATTAAAATCTTACTTTGATATTCTTTTAAAAGTCAATTATAATTTTTTCAAAACTGATTTTAAAACATATTATACTGTTTATTTAAAATATTTTGAACCAAGCTTAACTTAGCTTCTGCGCCGAAAAAATGTAATTTGAAAATAAAACAAAGCAGGTCATAACCTTTCGCCGCTTGACGATTGACGAAAAGGCACATTCATGACGCTTTAGATAACTTACGGGAGGAGAATTCTTTCACGGATGGAAGGAAGTGAAATTATTTAAGTGAACAAATTATTTACCTCGTTACTTTTAAGGAAAACTTTCAGCGCTCTAATTTTTTATTTTTTTATTTTTTTAGTACATAGCTTTCATTTTTATGTTTATGATGCTTTATGGAAAATATAAAGAAATTAAAAAATAAGACTGTTAATAGTGAGATTAAATTTCATAAGAAAAAGGTATCTAATTAATTTAGGTACCTTTCTTATGAAATTTTATCAGAAGTGTACATAAAATACTATAATTTTATGTACATTTATTACATTTTACTGTGTTATTTGTATTTCCATTCATTTTATTATTAATTTTTATATTTAATTTATGGAAAAATGTCATAACTGAGATTAATATAAAAATAAGATCATATAAATTAAAGTTTAGCAGTAGTTAAATTTCATAAGATGATACTGTTACTTGTAGGTACCCTTCTCAGTTGAAATTGAAAACTCAAATTAACTTCTCCATATGTGTTTCAAGAAAAGTAAAGGGCTTAACAGCGGAGAACAATGCTGAACTCAAATAATGCAACTAAATTGTATTCTGGTTGGTCTTCCGTACTTGATAATTACTGTCTGACTATAAACACAAAAATTACATTTCTTAATTACCATGGCTAATCTGATTGGTCCAAATTATACAATTTTCAAAGCGCTAGACAATGACAATCTCATACGGACATTTTGAAAGGTTGATGTTGCTTTTAACTAATGTTAAAATATTTTTAAAATTCAATTTAAAAATTTTTAAAAATCTTTTAAAATTAAAGAAATAAGAAATAATTGTATTAAAAAATTCAATTTTCATCGAAAAAATTTTTTTTGCTTTCAGAAAATATTGTCCATATTCATAAAAACAAATTAAAACAAATAAAAGCATTAGAAACTAAATAATATATTTGTTTTATTGAGTTTTGTATGTTACAATTCACAGCTGATTTTCAGGTACGTTGACCAAAAAAAAAAAAACATGATTTGCATTCTTCAAAGCCTTGTGCTTTTAACTATTGTAATCACTAAAACCGATGGTCTCGAATTTCTAGAGTTTTTCATAAAATTAGTTATGGGGGTGTTAATAAATATAAAAAAAAATATTTCTGCCATGACTTTAATAAAAAAAAAATATTTATAATAATTTCGATCATCTGTGAATAGTTTCTGAAAGTTTCATTAACATCTGACAATTATTTTTATTTTTGCAAGATTTTCCAAATTAATGTGTAAATACAAAAAAATGCCCTAAAGATTATCTATGTTATTTACTACCCCTTGTTGCGACAAAGAGAAACAAGGTTTTTTAAATCAAAATTTAAAATATTCTAAAAAGATAAAAAATTTTTAAAAAATAATTAAAAAAAAATTTAGTCTATCCTCTTCATAAAAAAATAAGCATTTTGACGATAAAATTTTGTTTTCATAAACTTTGGCGTCTTTTTCATCAGACTATGCTCTATGTTTTAGTGATTCTGTGGAGTGATTTAGGTTAAAAAACCCAGGTCGTTTATGTGTGTGTGTGTGTGTGTGTGTGTGTGTTCCTTTATATATGGGATCGGATTTCTTACATTTTTCAGCCGATAAAACAAAACAACCACTTTTTTTTTCGGCAGGTAGTATTTCTTATTGTCTTGCACACTTTTTTCTTTATTTACATTCAGAATGCTTTAAAAATTCCATTTACAAGACAATTGTTTATAATAAAATTCTATTCACCAATCGATAGACTCATAATGATTGTAAACAATGTTTTTGTTTGAATTTGGGTTTGACCAATTCGTAAAAAAAAACTAATTAAGACATGCGTGTCCGTCAACCTTAATCTTTGTCAATTTTATTTTTCAGTCTTTATGATGGTCAATACTTGATCTATCTCTTACTGGCAATGCCGGGCTCTACTGCTAGTTAATAATAATATTTATCACCTCTGTCTAAAATATTTTCAATCAATATGTAAATATAATAAAAAAGATGAGATAATCGGACTGGTGGCTGTCAACCAGAACACTTATAGAAAACCCTCGAGATTAAGAAATATTTAAAATTCGATTTTTCCCTTTACATAAATCTAAAAATTCTGATTATTTACACTATTTATATTCAGATTATTGTCCCCATCTTTGTTTTTATCACAGCATTTCAACCATTGTACCCTCTGGCCTTCCTCAGGTTTATATAAATCTGGATAACCTACAGGGAATTCTGAACTGAACCCTTTATTTAATCTACAAGGGTAGACTTTTCTTGTTCCACTGTCCATGTCTAGGAAGACCATCTAGTTCTTATTTTGTTATAACAACAACAAAGATGAGAACAATAGTCCAAATATAAATAGTGTAAATAATTTCTGCACATTTCATCAGACCCCACATCAGATGTTCTTTGAAAAGTACAATAACTTGATGCTCAAAATCAGTGAGTTGCTTTACCATACAAGAAGGAATGAAAGACAAAAGTTGTCTGCAAATAATCTTTAAATGACCACTCTCAAGATCAAGCAGCAATTAATCAATCAAAAGAACCAATCAGAGTTAATTATGTGAGAGGCAAATGATTATTCAATGTCATGAATATTCAACAAATTTTTTCAAGGTTAATTATTCAAGAAAGGTAAAACAGTGATAATAAATTTGCCACTTTTTTACTGGGCATCCTGTAGACTGGCAGCTAGGTCTCATATTTCACAATTCAAATGGCTAAATGTAACCATAAGTTCTGTTAACAGTTTTTTCTATTACATTTTTTACTTGCAGAAGTCTCTTCTGGATTTTTGCTTTCAAGTCAAGTTTGATCTTGAAAAATTGAAATACAATGTCAGTCATTACCTTCTGTCTTCTTAATTTTTGTTTTCTCTCCTTAATAATGTTTTTCTTTTTCTCATATTCTTTTCCACTCAGTAATCCCTTGTCTTTATGGATTCCCTTGAGGTGAAATAATATATATATATATATATATATATATATATATATATATATATATAAATAAAATGCAAAATTACCTTGACATTGCTTTGTGTCTGTTATGATGTTGATTTGGGGTTAGTAGAGACAAACGCCAAATAACACGTAACAATAAAAAGGGGTTTAAATATGTACAGAAATCGCCTGAGTAGTCAATAACTAGCTCAGCTAAGAACTGCTCTGTCTCTTGACATACCACTATTTAAAGTCTTTGTTCGCAGACAAGTTCATCTTCAATAGGGGTGGTAGGTTTCCGACACAACACCTCCCCCTTGAGATTAATTCTGGAGGAATTAATATCTTTTCCTTTTGGGATCTGGACTTAAACGTTCCACCCTAGTTCTTTTTCTTTTGCTTGTCCTTCTTTGGACAACTGTTTCAGGCAATGGTGGAGTTGGTATATCGAATAAATCATATAATACCTCCATTGGTTCTTCATTTTCTTTACTTATTTCTTCAATGTTTCTTCTCCTTAATTGGTTCAAATGTCTTTTGTGCATCCATTTTTTACTTCTTATCATGTACAACATCTTACCAATTCTTTGCATTACCACTCCATCTTGCCAAAATTCCTTCCCACTTTTGTAATTTAAAAAAAAAAAAAAAAAAAAAACTATCTCCCAGCCTGAAATATTTCATATTTTCCTGATGCGTTTTATTCTGGTAACTCTTTTTTTTTCTTTCTGGCAGTAGCCTATTGAACACAGATCTAATTTTTCTAGCAAACATCAGTTCAGATGGAGACATCCCTGATATTGTGTTTGGATTTGGTGTTATTCTGTATATACTTAAAAAACTGCTGTATATTACCATCATCTGTATTAGTACCATTTGTTTTTTAAGGGCTCTCTTGAACGTATCAACAAACCGTTCAGCCTATCCATTTGACCTAGGATGGTACGGTGAAGTCATGATGTGGTCAATTCCCAGAGTTTTACAAAACGTCTTAAATTCACTTCCTGTGAATTGAGTTCCATTGTCGGTGACAATTTTTTCTGGTACTCCAAACCATGCAAACAGTTCTGTAAGAAAATCTTTTGTTACCGAAGCAGTTGGTCTTTTGCACTTAAAAACCTCAGGCCACTTGGAATAGCTATCCACAACTATCAAGTAAAAATTACCATTCATGGGTCCAGCATAATCTATGTGGAATCTGGTCCATGGAACATCTGTTTTTGGCCATTGTGTGTATTTTACTGGCAGTGCTTTCGCTGCCATTTGACACCCTCTACAAGTTTTAACTACCTGTTCAATGTCTTTGTCCATATTTGGCCAATAAACGTAACTCCTCATCAGGGCTTTCATACGTCCAATACCAGGATGCCCCTGATGAAATTCCTTCAAAATCCGCATTTGTAGTACAACCGGTATCACGACCCTTCCAGCATATAACAGCACTTCATCACATATTGAATATGCTGGTGAATAAGTTTTATACTTTTCTGAAGTTACAGCTTCTTTCATTTTTCTAATAAAAATGTCTTTTTCTGCTTTTAATTTTATTTCATCTAATGTCACCGGTAATTCTTTTACTGTGTTGTACATTACTTCCACCAATTCATTTTCTGCTTGTAACGACGCTATCACCGTATCTTCTAGCGGTTTTGAAGACGTTGGGATCAGCCTAGATAAACCATCAGCATGGCTTAAATTTTTCGATGATAAAAATTCCATTTTGAAATTGCAATTCAACAAAATGGTTCCCCATCGTTGCAAACGGTTTGCCGTATGAGTAGGTATACACTTCTTTGAACCATAGATTGAAAGCAGCGGGCGATGGTCGGTCTGCAATATAAACCTTCTTCCATGTATGTACTTATGGAATTTTTTACAAGCATAGATGATAGCTAAGCTTTCTTTCTCAATTTGAGAGTACTTCTTTTCTGCGGGTAATAATGTCCTTGATGCATGTGCCACTGGCTTCAGATTGCCGTCTCTGAATTTATGCAGAATTACCGCACCTATTCCGTACTAAACTTTGCGTCCGATGCCACTATAATTTCCTGTTTAGGGTCATAATGTGTTAGTGATAATTCCGACATCAAAAATTTCTTTATTTTGTCAAATGCCTTCTGACACACTTCTGACCATTCCCACTTTGCTCCCTTTTTAAGCAATTTATTTAATGGAGCCGTAAGGCTGCACAAATTAGGAATATATATCCCATAATAGTTAGCAAGTCCTAAGAACGCTTGTAGCGTTACTACATTTTTGGGAGTTGGCATGCTTTTGATCGCTTCTGCCCTCGCCGGATCCGGTCTTCTTCCATCAGAGTCTATTATCTGCCCCCAAAACTTAATTTCACTCATAAAAAATTCACATTTTTCAGCTGCAAGTTTGAATCCATATTCTTCAATTTTTTCAAAAACCTGATTAATATGTTCCAAATGTTCATTTCGATCTTTACTTTTTATCAAAATATCATTAAGATATGCAATGGCGAAGTCCAACCCTGCTAGAAATCCCGTGAGCCACTTTTTCAGTCTTTTTAAGCAAAGGTCTGCCTATTTTAATCCATGTTGCTGTATTAATAATGGAAATATCACTTCCAGTGTCTAGCTGTAGTTTAACATTTTTTCCATGAATTTTTACCTGTACGAATTTTCTTTTCTGCCCCTCCTCAATCTCCTGATGTGACAATACAATATTCACATCTTTTTTCGACTTAAATTTTTTTCTTTTGCTTTTACAATGAGTACTTATATGGCCTTTATTGCCACACGAATAGCAATTTTTGTCGCAAAAAAAACATTCACTTTTAAAATGACCACCACCACCACATCCAAAGCACGTTGGTTTTTTAACGTTTTTTTTAACGTTTTTATTAACTATTCCCTTTTTTAGTTGAATAGCATGGACACGGGATACGTCTTTTTCTTCAATTTGCGTATTGTCATGTTTTAAGTTTTCAATTCTTTGACATTCTTCCGTAACCTTCTGCAAAGTAATCTCGAATTTTGTTCGAAGTTTTGCCAATATTCGGGACCTTATGTCCTTATCTTTGCTAGAAGTCAACCCTTGAATGAATATCAAACATTTAAATCGATCAATTGAAAGATCATGTAACATAAAACGTTCACACATTCTGTTAACATTTCCAGCATACGTAACAACATCCTCATCGCCACGCTTTTACCATATTCAAACACGAGAAACGAGTATGAAACAAACTAACTCGCTCGCCAAAAATACTAGATAAAGTATTAACAGTTTCTTCGAAAGAAATGTCACTAGTTTTTCTTGGAAGGACAAAATTCGTATACTTATTATTTTCATCTGTACCCAACTTTTGTAAAAGTAAACTCACTTTTGTTCATCAGTCCAACCTTCACATTTTTTTTTCAAATATTGTTTCAAATCTTCTGAAATACGCAGGAAATGTTATTCCCTCCTCTGGGTTAAATTTGAACTCAGTAATAGAATTAGCAATACCTTCGGCCGTGAATGACGAATTTACTGGATTCTTAAGTAAAATCGCTTCAAATAAAGCCTTTGTGTCATTTAAGCTGCTGAACTTGTAAATCCAATAGTTGTTCCTGAAACAATCTTTTGTTGCTCTTGTTGCTGAATTTGACTTTGCACTAGAGTTTTCGTTAATGCAATCAAATCTTCCATTATGCGTAATAGATTACACAATACACTTTTCAAAACAGACAAAAAGGGAAAACACGATATATCCACAATAAGCACAAGTCTTACTTCTTTTTGCACGTTGAAATCCCAATTCTTCGTGAAGAACAAAGTTCGACGATTTTTTTTTTTCATAGCGAAAAAAAAAAAATTATATAGTCCACCTAGAGTTGAAAAAATTTCTCCACTCAGCGTGATGAACAAATCTCTCGTTGCCACTGTTATGATGTTGATTTGGGGTTAGTAGAGACAAATGCCAAATAACACGTAACAATAAAAAGGGGTTTAATAGGTACAAAAATCACCAGAGTAGTCAATAACTAGCTCAGCTAAGAACTGCTCTGTCTCTTGACATGCCACTATTTAAAGTCTTTGTTCGCAGACAAGTTCATCTTCAATAGGGGTGGTAGGTTTCCGACACAACAGTGTCACAAATTTTCTTTGTAAGAAAATGATAATTGATTTTAAATCATTGTTATAATTTGTGGAGAAAAATGATGCATTTCAATATTAATCAATGATCTTGCCAATGTGACCTCCATCTTCTGGCGTTCTCCTTCTATATTTTGGATAGAAGTCATTCCTTTGTTCAAATCTAAATTTAAATCAAAAGGAAAAAATTTTCAGGGGTGGAGGTGTGTTTGTGCCTAATCATCCCCCTACCCCTCTGATCAAAATGAAATATATTTAAGTACCCAGGGTAATGTAGTTTCAGAATATATATGGTTATGGGGGTCTATCTCCAAAACACTAGGAGGAGTTTGATAACAAGCAGACAGTCAAACAGACAGGCTACAACTTGTATATAATGTAAATTTTTAAAAAATGTCTTCATCTGTGGCTTTCATCCACACTCGGTTTCCTCACTACACTTCTTCATGTGACCATAAAGTCTAAAAAAACTTTGAACAAAAGCAAGTCATTGTTGACCATGTTTGAATGATTCCAACTCAGAGTAAATAGCAAGAATAAAATAGAAAAATGACAAAAATGATTCAATTTGAAGTTCAATTCAAAACGGTAAATGTGAAATGAGAATTTTAAAAATAAAAAAAGAAAGAAAGAAAGAAAAAATAAGCCTTACCTGGTATTGCATTCCACACTTTGAATAGGAAGAGTCTTGAACGATAAACTATGGACTTCTTCCCCAGTCTTCAAGGAAACAAGTCTTGCAGAACTGTAAGATTGGCCAGAACTGGAGAAGGAGAGAAAAGAAAGGAAATAAAGCTCTCAAAGAAAACAAGGAAAGATACTCATTAGAAATAAAAGATGGAGCTTTTTTTTTTTTTCTTAATTCCTTGGTTGACAATCATTTCAATGATGTCTGTAGCCATGAGAGGAACATTGCATAGAGATGAATTCAGTCTCCAAGGTCATTTTTCCAGCAATACAATGAGACATCACAAACTGTCAGAAAGAAATTGTTACCACTCCTGGTTTGCAATCCACTTTCAGTTTAATTTAATATTAACAAAAAGAAGTAAATGTATATATACTGTGTGTGTAAAGTATTTGAGGACATGTGATTGCATGTCTGCAGTTATGCTATAATTAATTAATGTGCTTTTATCTTTTCAGCAGATCAATGGGGAATTATCACTTAATGCACAAGATCAAACAACATTCTGTAATTGTTACAATACAACATTGAGATTTCTATTTTTCAACAGCAATATTAAGATTTTTTTTAATCAATTCACCCCAAGCAAAGTAATAATGCCACTATGATGCAAAGGCCTACTGCAAATGAAAGAGAATGAAAAGACTTTAGAAGGAACCAGAAACCCAATCCTAAACAGGAAACAAAGCATAATCCTCAAAAGAACAGGGAGGGTATAAAGCAATCAGTAGACAAACCTATCCCCTCCTATTCAAGAAAAATAAATAATCAGTAAATAAAATTTCATAGTTCAGGCAGAGATGTTAAAAGCATAGGGTGGAAGTAAACTTCAAAAGGAACCGAACCAATCCTAAACAGGAAACAAGGGATAAACCTCTATTTCTGTCCAAAAGTCTGGGTAGGCATGTGAACAGTTTTTTGGAAGTTGCAAGGTCATTTGTGAAGAATGTTTAGGAGGAGTTGGAAGCCTCCAGCAGGGATGTGCCACCTGTAGTGAAGTGCAAAAAGCATTCACAGTGTTCAGACAGTATCAAAACCCCACAATTCATACAGTGGATGCATAATGTTAGTGATGTGAATCCTGGAACATAAGGTCAGTGCCAAAGACCTCCAGGTATCCAAGGACACAAGTCACAATGTGGTGCACGAGGACATTTGGTAGAAGCCATAAATAATGAAGAAAGAGTAGGTCATGTCAGCATACACACTAGAACAATGGTTGCTCCAAGCAAAATGGTTACTGAACAATTTGAAACATGTACAAGAACATAGCAGGCTCTGTTTTTTTTTTTTTGGTCCTCCCACCTAAACAAAAAAATTTTTTTTACCAGAATCAAAATGTGAACCAGAGAAATGACATGTGCAGATCCTTATGATATCCCCCATGTTATGCCCACCAAGTTTCCTACTTCTGTGATGGCTTTAGGGGTGGTTAGTAGTGAAGCTGTATGTGTTTCAATCGGACTCTGCTCCTGCTCACAAAGCTGTAGTGACCCAAAGATTGGATGGTGGAAAATCTGCACAACCAACTCACACCAAACACGTAACCACCTAATTCACAAGATCTTAATCCCATTGACTTATGTGTGAGGCATTGTTGAACAAGAGACTAATCAACATTCCCACAATGCAACTGATTCACTGAGTAATGTCCAGTATCAATACAGACCACATGATGCATATGTGTCAACGTTACCAGTCCCACATTGAAGCCATTATTGTGAAGGAAAGCCATTACATCAAATAAACATGTTATCTAACCATTAATGCATCTGTGTATCAAGCTGGGTGTCAATAAATTTATTTGTTTGTAAGATGTAGTTGTTTTTCTTATTCAATGTGTCATCAAATACCTTACATACTCTATGTGTGGGTGTGTGTGGATGAGCATATATCTCCAAACAAGTTTGATTTAATTCAACTGACATGATTATTTTGTTTATTTATATTGGATTTTATTGGGAATGAAATTGTGTATAAACTATCCAAAGCATCTAATTACCTTTAACTGATGCCACTGTGGACAATTTTAAACTTTCAACTCGAGGACACATGGCACAGTGGATAAAGGCATTGGTTAGATCCTGAGACAGAACCCAAAGAGTGTGAGTTCAATACCCAGTTAAGGCAATGACGAGCTTGGAGAGGGGAATTAACAGGAGATAACTGACATTTATTAAAAACATGGCACGTGGAACTAGAACAGTCTACCCCAGTGAGCAAAATAAAGGGTTCAGTTCAACATTCCAACCTCCTGAAGAAGGCCAGAGCGTACAACAGCCGAAACGTTGTAATAAATATGGTGACAAAGATGAAGACATTAGTCCGAATAATGTAAATAGTCTGCAGGGTACTCTGTTGAAATTGTCAACACCTGTCTCATCACACTCTCCTTAATCCTGTCTGCAATCTGAAGTTTATTTCATTTTTAGCCTTTAGAATAAAAACAGAAATTGCAAAGTCTGGACTGTAAATGGCAGAAGCTGACATACCTGGGTGAAAACTGAATAAGATGTGAAGAATGAGTAGAGAAACATTGCTGTAAATAAGTCAGTCACAAAATAAACAAATTCAGTCAATGGTATCTCATGACTGAGCAAGTCCTCTCTGATTGGTCTAGTTTTGATGTATAATTTCAAAATTGGTTTTCAATGTATTCAAAATGGCTGTATATTTTCTACACAGAACAAAAAAGTTTTGTAAAATTCAAAGAATAAAGACAATAAACTTTGGGAGGTTATCACAACCTTTTATATCTTCTAAATAAATAAATGGCAAATTCTGCTTGTCCATCCGTCCATCTGTCTGAAAACCTTCTAACTCAGTTCCACTTGCTATATCTTTTTGGAATCAGGATGATTGCAGGATTGGAAATCTGCCCTTCATCTGCTGCTTGAACATCCAGTCTTGGGATTTTGTCTGGATGAAGAGGGAACAGTTAAAAATTCAAATTTTAAAGTAACTAGAAAAAAAAATTAGTGATTTTAAACGTTTTTAATTTATGTTGAGTTTTAAGTAACATGAAAACAAAAACTTTTTTTTATTTTTGTTTCAAATTTAGTTTAAAATGTCTCGAAAGGAAATCAATTTTATTTCTTCAAAATGTCAAGGTATCAGAGTTAAAGTGAGATGTTTTGTGAGGTTTCAAAGCTCCACAGATTTTGGGATTTGAAGAACTCAATTTTCAGCCAGGATTAGACTTACAGCCTGAATCAGAGTTAAAGTGAGGTTTTGAAATTCCATGGAGTGAATTGAGAAATTCAAAGTCATTTTTTCAAAAATTATTATTGCTGTTTTCTAAGCTGGATCAATGGTCCCTTTAGTTTTGGATTGGAGACCCAATTAGCCCTCTGCAGGAGCTAGCTTAAAAGTTCATGGAGTGCAGCTTTTAAGCTAGTATTAAATAAGGGAAAAAATAAAACTATCCAAAAAAACCCACCTTGAAGAATCACAGATTACCATCAGTGGTCGCTTATTTGCAAAGTTGTCCGTTTCTTCAAATACTGGAATAAAAAATAAAGAAATAAATGCAAAAGAATTTTAAAAATTCCAATAAAAAAATGGTGATGAAAATAAAGTATCAATAACTTAAGAGCATTTTTGTTGCTTACCAACCATCTTTATAAAGCAGAATTTGTATATAATAGCTCTCTTATGTCATTACTTCATTAATGGCCCCTGACAATATTTTTCTTCCCAATTTTCAATGCATTTACATATATAAGTGGACATTGAAGTCAACACCCAGCAGCAACAGTATTTCATGCTTAAATGCAATTGTCACGCCATGCACACATATAGTGGTGAAGGCTTGTGCAAACCAACCACACTTTTTGGAACAGCCGAATAGAAAGAATTGGTGCACAGTATACCACAAGGTCCCCAAATGATACTCCGCAGATTTTGAATTCAGAGTTGTCCTTCTCCTAGACTGGATACCAGCTAAGGCTATAGAACCCAGTCTGTTCTGCTATTTTATCCATAGCTGGGAGGAGAAAAATGGATTTATACCTTTCCCCAAGGGTATTAGCACATAAGTCAATGTAATGAATTCAACTGAATTTGAACTCAGCTCTTCAATTCCACAATTATCATGCTATATATATATATATATATATATATATATATATATATATATATATATATATAAACCATATTCTATTACTAATGCTTGTATTAAATTCTGGCCACTGACAATCCCTTTATTCCAGAGTTTCAATGAATTCCTAGAGTTAAATCATTAGTAGTGCATTTCCATTGTACATCTAATATACTTATTCTATCAGTAATGCCTACATTAATTCCTGACCACTGACAATCCCTTTGTACCTGACTTTGGATATGCAACCTACAATTGCAAAGTTCAATGCTGATCATTGTTAACCCAGTGAAGGATGAGAGGGTATCATGTTATTCATATATTGTGGTTTATATAATGCAATTATGACAGGACAGAACAGAAGACACTTTAAAAGGCTGACAGTAAGTGATCTATTTCCTTTAGTTTATGACAACATTTCAACTTATGCACTCTGCCTTCCTCAGGAAGTCCAGTGAAAGTGAGAGGTACAGAAATAAAAACAGCAAAACCTCATAGTTTAATAAAGGGTTTTGTTCCACAAGTCCTATGAAGAATAGTGAAATCCATTTTGGAATAGGCCTTCACTTCCTGTAATCCCTTCTCAAAATAAAATAAAAAAACAAAACACAAATTCCATTCTTGTTACAAACAACTCACATGTTTGTGAGCCTATTTACAAGTCAAATGAAACACCCAAACTGCAATACAATCAGTTCAACTGGTTCAAAAGGAAGCTGACAAAGACAAACACACGCAGTGTTATATCCATCAAGTAAGGTGCAACTTACCAGGTATTGGGGTGGGCAGTATCTTCATTGCTCGCACAGGGCCTTGCCTTAGTGATAATAATTCTTGTGCTTCTCCTTTGGGCTGGGGTAGAGAAATAAAATGAAATAAACAAAGAGGAAAATTTTACAAAACCCTATAACAATAATCAGATCTGTCCCAAAATGAATATAGATAATAAATTAAGAGACATACATTTTATACAAGTCAAATAGATAAATCTACTAACCGTGAGATTCCATATTTGGATACCATTTGTATAACCTAGCACAATGAGAAGAGGCCCAGTTTTCACATCCAGATGTGCAAAATCTGGGTTCCGTGTAAAATCTGCAAAAACAATTTTTAAAAATTGGTATATTACAATTTAAAAAAAAAAAAAAAAAAAAAAAAAAAAAAGGGAGAAAAGAAAAAATTATTTAGGAGAAGGGTGGAGCAAAAGAAGACACAATGTTATGTTACTTGTTCAGTCAATCAAATTTACCATCATATTGGTCACATGACTATACCAGAAATGCTAGCCTGAATGTGAGGCACCAAATAAGAATCAGAATCACCATACTTGTAAATTAGTCTACAAAACAATTTTACCTCAACAAAAAAATAAAATGAAAGAAAGAATGAATAAAAGAATGAACAGAATGAAACAACAAATGAATGAATACAGCATAAAACGAACAAATGAAAAACAAAAGAATGAATGAAGAAAAAAAACAGAGAGAGAGAAAGAGGATGGATTAATTCATATACAAAAAAATATTTCTAAAAGTTATGCCTAATACCCTATTATTTTGGTAATGCTTGTGCTAATTCTTGGACACTGACAATCCATTTCTTCTGACATTTTACATACCAACTTTCTGAAACAATTTGTGATCAAAAGTTAAAAAGATATTTCAAAATAAAAATGTGTTCATTTTTTTTTTTTAAATGCAGCAAAGCACAGCTGTAAACAAGTCTGAATTCGAAATTGGTGCTGGAGTGGAAAACAATGGATAAGTGCACCATCTGGCAGCAGGAATTTGAAATAAGAAAATCTGCTGAACATATAGTACATACATTATTTTTAAATTTATTTAAATATGATTTACAAGTTATAAGTTACATCTTAATTTTTAATTAATATTTTCATTCCAGCTTGATAAAAGTTTTTTGAAGTGGTTGTAATTCATTTAATAAAAATTTTTCTTAATGAATATTTAGTTTAATCAAGATTTTTTTATTATCTGGAAAAAAAAAAGAGAATTTTTTTTAATATTATCTTAAGCGTTCACTTACTTTTGAACAGTGCTGTATATTTGAAAAAAAAAAAAAATTCTTTTTTGCTTTCAGTTACTCACCATTTATATCTGTTTGCTCAAATCGGACCCACTGGACTTTTTCTTTGTCATCTGTCCTTGGATTATTGCTATAGGCCTGAAAGGTAAATGGAGACACTATCAGCCAGAAGGAAATAGAATAATCAGTTTTATTTAAGCTATCGAGAATGTTAATGTTTATACATTGGGAGAGTTGCAACTTTATTCCCTGCTCATCATTTCAGATGAGATTATATTAAAACTTTAAATCTACTTAAATAAAATCATTTGCATCATATTTTTCCTGTTTTTTTATTCTGTAAATAGAAATTAAATATTTGCCCATTTTATAGAATCTCTTGGTATGCTAATAAATAATTTATACTATTGATGCATATTTTTTAATTTAAGACCTTTTTATAAATGCTACAAGCCCTGTATTAACTTAATCCAGACCCCATCTACAAGTCACATACAATAAATCAGAAGACAGTATTTATCTTGTTTACTTTCACTTTAACCGTAAGAAAAGATAAAAAAAAAAAGTCAACATTAAAGATTTGCTTTATTATTTTGAAAGTGAATGCAATTCAGCTTGGAAAGACCTAAGTGGATTGTTACAGCATTTAATCCAGAACTAGAAAATGAATGTAACCTATACAAGATGAACTTGTTGAACTGTCCTTGAAACTAGAAACAAAACCACTGTTTGTGTACATTTGAAACAAACCAGTTAGTTCAATAGGCCTATCATTAATTTTAAATGAACTGGAATAATAGATAATATATTCATATAACAGCACATCAACTCCTTATGAGTCATTTAATACTGAAATTTTATTTTCTTGTTAGCTTTGAAGTAATAAAAATATGATATATGTTATTCTGCTTTCACAATTGAATACATGGTAGATGTTACTAAGCTTTTGTGCATATACATGTTTGTGTGGATATGATTACTAGAAGTGGTGATATGTGTGTTTTATGTTGTAGTTTTGTTGGAGTTATATTTTGGAATACAGTTTTATTATTTCTTTAAGAAATTGTAGGACATTATATGGATTAATGTCATGAAAGTGTTCTTTCATATTGGTTGATTTTGTTTTGCATCATATCAATACCTCTAAGGATTATTTAATGCTAAAATCTAAATAATTTGAACGCAATTGAATGTCTTCAGCTACAGATAAAATGTACTGCAGGTTATATGTATTATTGGTCTTTTTTTTTTTTATAAAATTTTATTGCTGATATTTTTACGATAAAAATATATTTTAATACTTTCATAACTCAGTGTTTTAACCTCAGTTTGAGGGTTAACTATTTGCCCAGATCAGGGTGGACCTGGAAACACCCAGCAATGAAGAGGTGGTTCCATGTTCTTCAAAACCTCCTGATCAGTGGCCTTGCTGTTGGCTGTAGTCTATCATCATGCCCAGGACTCCATACAGTAATAGCAAATTAATCTAATAATAACCACAAATATTTAATAATACGTCCAAAATGTGATAATTTGTTATGACTGAAAGAAGACTGACACTATAGAGTTGGTGACGTGACTTGGTCTTGCTAGTATGGTAAGCTATTAAATCCTCAATGTTTTTTTTCCAAAAAATACCTAGCTAATAATGTGTCCCTTACAACTTGTGATGTCTTAGCATGCAGGAAATATGGTACCTTACAGGGCTAAAGAGCTCTAAAAACCCTGTAATTTATCTGTAGTTGGAGTGGAGGGAAGATGGTTTTGTGCTTTTCCGAAGAGCATTGGTGCAAAGTGAATGCTTTTAACTGTTACACCACCCACATTTCTCTGGGTAAAGCTTGATAAGAAACTAAGTAGAGTATGCCCAACTTACCTGGGGTACAACATCCGAAATGAAATTAACAACACTCTCCATCATAGTTTTGTCGCTGGAGTGAGAGAAGAGAAAGAAAATGGGTTACAAATGTTTCTGTCATTGTACAGAAGAAAAACTTGTATAACAAGAGAAATTTGAACCCCAAACTGAACATATTTACTTGCATAAATGCATATTGCATCATTTTTTTTTTTTTTTTTTTTTTTAAACGAATGGTTATCCAATATAAGGCCCAATAGTGAAGATTATGAGGATATGAAGGCTAGATAATGATTGATCCTGGACTTGAAGATGTTAAGATTGTAGTGTTTGGGGAAAAATTTCTATTGGAGTTTGTTTCACATTCTACAATTTTATTTAAGACAATACAGATATTGTTCTAAATAACAAAAAAAATTTCAGTGTTTTTTTTTGTCTCATAATACTTGTTACATTTTAGTGTATGTAAATCTAACAACTCTTATGGGACAAAGGGTGTATCAGATTTTTTATCTTGATTTTTTGCAGCTGATTTATTTATTAAAAAAACAAAGCCAGTGTTAAAGATGCAAATTTGTTTTTTTCTTCATAATCTAAGAACATGGATATCATTATATAAGGGTTTCAATGTTAAAGGTTGTGGTGAAGGTGTTAAGAAATTCAATTTTATTTACCAAAATGAAGCATAAGTAATCCTCTATAGGAATTTCTAAAGTATAAGAAATATCAGTATCTGTTTATATTTCTGAGATGAGTTATTATGCACACTATTTACAATATTCAGATGCATGGCACAGTGGATAAAGGCATTGGTTAGATCCAGTGACAGGACCCAAAGAGTGTGTGTTCAATACCTGGTTAAGGCGGTTGAGAACTTGGAGAGGGGAATTAACAGGAGATAACTAATAACTGACATCCATTAAACATGGCACGTGGAACTAGAACAGTCTACCCCAGTGAGCGAAATAAAGGGTTCAGTTCGACATTCCAACCACCTGAAGGCCGGAGCATACAACAGCCGAAACGTCATAATAAATATGGCGACAAAGATGAGGACAATAGTCCAAATATTGTAAATAGTGTAAGAAATATTGGATAAAAAAAAATTGTTTACATTTTGGGTATTGGTATGAAACTGAAGTTAGCATATACACTCCTGGTCAAAATCTTACATTATATACTTCTTTATAATATATTTATATACACATACATACATATATACATACATACATACATACATAGATAGATACATACACTCCTTGTCAAAATCTTAAGACCAGATATAAAAGGGTTAAAAAAAATATAAAATACTGTTACTTTAATCAAAATATATTTGTGACATTTCATTAGAAAATAGTTTCATTTCATTGTGACATTTCATTAGAAAATAGTTTGTCAACAAACAAGTGAAAAGTTTAAGCTTTTAATTGATTAATTTAAACAAACATTGAAAAAAGGATTTTTTGTTGGTCATAAAGATAAGACTATATAAATAAAAGAAAATTCAGAACAAATAAGTTATAATGACAATTTAATATTTAGTGTATCCTCCATTTTTGCAAATTACTTTGAAAATTAATTATTAATTTCTGCATGAGGGTGCTTGGGATGCTCACACAAGATGCATAAACTGCAGCACAAAGAGCATCCACAGTTTCAAATTGTGATCTATGTTTATAAACATCCTTTGCCATCCATCCCCAAACATTCTTGATTGGGTTTAGATCTGGAGAGCATGGTGGACGGCTCAAAAGCTGAATGTTGTTTTCCATAAAAAACTCCTCTGACCTTCAAGCATTCTGGATTGCAGCATTGTCCTACTGGAAAATCCAGTTTTCTCCACATAGACTAGGACTTTCATTAATTAGCAATGCCTTTTTTTTTAACATGTCAATGTAACTAGCAGCTGTTTGACAACCTTTTAGCTCCTGCAACTCAAGAGTTCCATTGTACAAAAATGAACCCCAGATCATAATTGATCCACCTCCACTGTGTTGAGAAAATTTCTTTTGGGACATTTTTTGCATGCTAGTAATGCTGAAGACTGTCTGAGCCATCAAGGTTGAATTTTTTTCTCATCTGAAAACAACACTTTCTTCCATTTATCCATATCCATGTTTGATAATTAGAAACAAACTGTAAACTGGAAGTTTTATGGCGAGGAAGAAGGTGAGGCCTTTACAGTCATTTCACATTCTTAAACTCTTATTTAAATGCTGTCAAATTGTTCAAGAGCTGCATTCGGCATCTGTATCACTTTTATCTGATTTGATGTTAGGCTTGAATCTCTCTTAACTTCTCACCTAATGCATCTGTCTTGAGATGGTGAGATTTTTTAGAAGCATACGCTTCCAGATTTTTAATGAAGTTAACAATGACAGTTCTGCTATGGCCAATTTAAGTTGCAATGGCTTGTTGCGAAAAATCACGTCTTTGAAGTTCAACAATCCTGCCCTGTTCGAACTTTGTTAAAATTTTACCCTTAGCCATTTTAAAATCTGAAATTTAACGTTGGAAATGAGCTAAGTAGATGTCTACATGCCTGAAGCTATGTGTAAACGGACTACTTAAAAAATTTTTGTCCAGTAATTTTCTTTTTTTCCACATGTGATCTTAACTTTATGACCAACCAAAAAAAAAAAAAAAAAAAAAATACTCTTTCAATGTTTGTTTAAATTAAGAGCTTAAAATTTAACTTATCTACCGTAAACGGCTCAGCATTAAAGCTGACAATAAAAAAATACAAAGTGTTCTTTTTACGAGTTTTGTTTTTTATTTTTTTACTTTAATTAAAAACACAACCACCTGTTAAGTGTTTTCTTCAGAGAGTGGATATTTTGTTTGATTTTCATCTTCAATTTTTGCAATCTGTAACCTGAAGAGTGTGTTCGACAATAAAATGATTCAGAAATCAATTACACCGATTCAAAATCTCTTTGTTGTTGTTTTTTCAGGTTTATTTATTTATTAATGAATCGAATCTTGCCATTGCAAACCACGTTGTCACGTGCTATGTTTCTATTTTTAGAAACATGTGACGTCATTCACTCCTTTCAATAAGAAAAATAAGTGAATTTTAAATCAAATCACGGTTTTCTTCTCTTTTTGTTTACGTTTAATTACTAAATGATTATTACACGTATTAAGTGGACAGTCACGATGCTTAAAATAAGTTGTCTTTTTTTTAAAATTTTTATTTAATTACTCCTCGGACATGTTCAGAAAATACGTCACGGGTGTGCGGAAAAATTACTTCGGTTTTTCAATAGTTTTAAATCCTTTTTAACCGTTTTTAAACAATATCTGATTCGATCAAACCGGAAAAAAATCGAAATAATATATTGTATCATATCATTAGTGTACCTTTTTAAGAACTTTCCCCAGCAAAATAATAATCTTTTTTTATTATTATTGTGTGTGGTGACCTCATTAAGGATGAAAAGAAAACAGACAATTTATCAAATTTACTAATTAAATAGACAGAACCTTTTAGTTAGAAACTAATAATAAAAAACTATTTAGAATTATTTATCAAAGTTTCTGAAGTTGTTAATAAAAAATAAATAAAGGCCAGCTTGTGAACAAACCTTTTTACGGAAGCATGGCCACGTGACCTAACGTTTTCGAATGAATGGATTTTTTCTTCTTTCAAATAACAACTGACGTAAACAAAAATGAAATGTATTTAAAAACGAATTCGGTTTTATTTTAGTTTCTGCTTCTAAAAAATAATTATGGAAAAATGAAAACTCTTTTATGAAAAAATTAGTTATACGAGTTGAGAAAGTTTTCTTGGGGGTGGGGGGAAATCAAAAATTTTAAAAAGTTATTCATTATTAATAAAAAAAATGATCAATCAATTATTACTCTAAGAAGTTTTTTTTTTACCTAATTAACCGTTGGCGTTAATTAACTACGTAAGAAGATTCTTTCAGTTTATTTTTCAAACAAGAGAATTTATTTTAAAAACAGGGAAATCAATTTATAAACATATTTTAAGACGTCATTATACATCAAATAATTTCTAATTAGTTTAAATTTAAACTTCAAGAAGAAAATAATTTTTGTAAGCTTAAATAAATTAAAGTTAAACCTACCAAAGAATTTTAAAAATACACAGACAAGCAGGAGTTAATTATACTTAATTAATACTAATTAATTAACTTAAAACTTCCATTAATTCAAGTAAAAACAAGTGACCGTCATCATAAAAATGAATCTCACCAACTCTGCACTTTTTTTAACTTACAATCTCAAATCCAAAAAGAAACAAGTAAATAAAATAGCTAACCATAACAAAAAGTTTTCATTGGTAAAAAAAAAAATAAATAAATAAATAATAAAAAGGATGAATTTAAAAAATAAAAAAAAAAAACTTTTTTTTTTTTTTTAAATTATCGAACCGATAACGAAAAGAAAAAATTATGGATGCCCAAATGCATGCTAATCGCTTTTTGGTTAACAGGTTAAGTTGAATGCTAATTTCCATAAGTAAACAATATTTTCTTCTCAAAAGGAAATTATATTCCTAACCCCACTGAGATAGAGAGAAGAGACATTTTTAAAAGTCTCATCGTCGTCATCATCACCATGAAGAATAAATGAAGAATGGTAGAGGTGGGGGCGGAAGAACCGTGCTTACCAATATGGCTGCGGTCTGACTACAGTTCCAGTATATCGACCCAAAGACCTTCTGGGTGAATCTGTCAGCGATGTCATGATTATTTCGGACTTTAGTTACGTCCACAAATGTGTGGGCAGTCCGTTAAGGCCAGTGATGGAGCTCCTTTTTGCCCCAGGCTCGTGCGTTATTCGTCATTAAACAAAGGAGGTAAAAACAATAGACCTCCTTTTCTAATACTAGTCTTGTTGTTGTTGTTGTTATAAAGCTACACTGACTGACGATTGCGCACTTTCTTCCTACGGTCTTCCAGAAGAAACATAATTTACACACGCACAAAAAACTGTATCGTATTTTCAACTACATTTTTTATTTAATGAAAATTTAAACATTTTACAAGAAAGAGATTGTAATTATTTTCTGTTTAAAATCTCAACGGAAGTAAAAAAAAAAAAAAAAACATTTGTTAATTTTCATTTGAAACTTGGTCAACTTTTAAACCAGCTGATTGCAATTGAATACGTTCATTGCAGGTGACATTGAAAATAAAACGATTACATTTCATTTTCAATTAATATTCAATGATTATTGTTATTTAGAAGTATCAACAGTATCGGTAGATTTTGCTGTATTTTTAATTTTTACCTGCAATAATTAATTTTAAAAAAAACGCAATCAAACAAAACAAACAGTCAATTATTACAAACTACGATAGACTAGACAGGACACAATATATTTATTATGCTGTGTCATTGTAAAATTTCAGTTGACAATTGTAATAGGATCATTTTGGAAAGAGGGGGAAAAAGAGAAAGTTAAATATCTTTTTCTGAAAAGCGCAAATAAAAAAACAAAACAAAAAAAAAACACACACACACACAACTCTTACTCCGGACTGAAATTTGAATGAAATGTACATTTATTAAATGGCATAAAAATAATAATAGCACAGAATACAAAATTTACAAAACAATTAGGTTTGGGCTCCTAAAAGCAATCATAATTAATATCAATAAAATGTTGAATGGTGTTGGGAAGGATGGCAAATTCAAGGCGTTGCTGAGTTTCTACTTTGTTTAGACAATAGTTCAGTTTTAGAAACTGAGATAAGATAAATCTTGTATTTTCATAAACTGTTCAAAATCAGTGTTAATAGCTATAATTTCTGACAAACTTTCACAAACAACTATAGAAGAATAATTGTATATCTTTTTACATTTGTAGAAATTTCTTCCTTTTGCTTTCTTTTCCTTTTCTTTCTTTTTGCTTCTTCTTTTTCTTTTATTACTTCCTTTTCCTTTTCGTCATAGTTTTAGTCTTCAGGGTCATCCTTGAAAATACTGAAATCCTTCAGCTTTTGGCTCTCCTAGCAGCTACCAGCAACTTTTGCCTGTCAAAGCCAAATCCCATCTGGCTGTCAGACAAGCCAGACTTCTTAAATAGCCACAAATAGGCTCTGAATTGGATATTGTAGAGTTGCAACTTACTTTCCCCATTGGTTAATAAAATCACAATGTATTTCTTTAAATCACACCTATTTGTAAACTTTATTTTGGAAGCTTTTCATGCCATAAGATTTCAACGTGTTTTTTTTACAAATTTGTAAACCAAATTTTATATATATAACTTTTTAATAAACCATCAGGCTTCATTTTTACATCAATTATGAACCTCACATATACAAAGTTTTGTACATCAGATTTTATTCAAGCTGTTTTTATTAATTGTTTGGCTTTATTATGGCTGTTTTTTATTTAAAAATACATGTTGATAAATTTCTTCTTTTAATAAATATTTTTTAAACACTCCCCTCAAAAGAAAGTGTAACAAACAAAGCTAGTATCTCTATCTATAAGAGGCAGGATGTATGTGTATGTGTGTGTGTGTGTGTGTGTGTGTGTGTGTGTGTAATGAATGTACGGCTGCAATTTTCAACAGATTTGCACCAAAATTTACATGCACATGCTCCAAGTTAGTGGGAAGGCCAAGACCAACTTTGCATTTCCCAACTCCCATCGATAGTGGAAATAATCGATTTTTTCATGCTTCTACCGCAGTTTTCATGCAGTTTGCAGCCATTTTCTACTGGCCAGAGTGAGAGCCTATAGCTGGCTGCCACGAATAGGCAGGAAGATTCTATTGGCCAGTGTGAGAGCTAACAGCTGACTGACACGAATGTTAACTAGCATGCTAGCATGCAAAAAAAATTGATAGCTGCATTCGTCACAAGTGGGAAAAATTTAAATCTGCATGGCACTTTACTCCAATTGGCTCATTCGCTTGCTTAAACTCAACGTTGATTCTGCAGAATTGGGTTGGGTGTGAAAAAGTATTTGTTGTTAACATTCTTTTTTCATTCAGTTTTTCCAGTTACGAGTCCTTTTTTAAAGCTGATCGTTTTGTGTTCATTTTGTTTAGTTGTTTTTTCATATCAGATTTAATGTTTAGTATAGAGCTTAGAAAAAATTCACAGTGTGAGATAGGCAAGAAGTAAGGCATGTAGCAACACCAGTACAGCAAAGGACACTCCTTCAAAAGCAAGGAAGGGCAAAAATATTTAAAGTCTAGTGATAGCGATTGCTGTATGAGTCGTATGATTTTTGAATCAAGCATGGGCAATGCTGGGCCATGCTGCTAGTATTGTATTATTTTTTACTTATCCTTTAATAAATTTTTACATTTTTTTTATTACATAAATTGTTATAATTGTGTCATCTCTTTTGTTGGTAGTAATGCAGAGATGGACAAGTTGAAAGAATTTTTCCTTTTCTTTTTTTTTCTTTTTTTTTCTTAATTATTGATGGTTTTTGGGCATCATACTAAAATTTTATTTTTGGATAATAAGTATTATAATTAATTTGTGTCATTTTTATTTTTTCCTCAGATGTTTTTAATACACACACACACACATATATATTTTCTTTTTTTTCTGAACAATAAATGAACTTCATCTGCAGTTTTCATATGAAAACTACAGATAGAGTTCATTTTCTTCAGAAAGTCATTCATTCCTGTAGTTCACTGCTTCTAACAAGCAGGAATTTTTTCTCTTGATGATGGCCAAAACTAGTCAAGAAACCTAATTGAAATAATAAAATAAAAAAAAATTAATATACAACCCAGTGTGTCTGAAAATTTTTATTTTTTAATTTTTCAATATTTTTTTATTTTTCAAAACATATATATATGCCACCACATAAATACCAATAAGTATTATAAATTAGAATTTACCATTTACATAAGCACAATCACCCAAAAACAAGCAAATAACCAGTATTAAAAATAATAACAAAAGAGCATTAAAAATTAAAAAATAATAACAAATTTATCTACCATAGTCTTATCCAGACCCCACCTTAAATAATGCAAAAAAAATAATGCCCCAATGGATAGAAGGTGTGTGAACACGTGTGCATACATATATGTGTGTGCAAGAAAACATTATTCCATGAACAAAATAGACAAATGATCTATAACTTGACACTTTCACTTGGAAAAAAATTTGCTACACAATTCCAACATTGAATACAGTGACCAATTGTATACGTGTGCACAGATGTGCGTATATGCCCAGTCCTACACTGTTTATATATTTATTTTTGTGTGAGCTGCAATGCGTGAACATGCATGTATGTGTGTCAGCATACATATGGATGGTGTTCCGATGACAAATTTTCCTCCCACTGCCATAAAACACCGATATATGCAACCTTGTATAAATCCAAAAATTCAAAATTAATCAGTTTGTCTGATGATTGCAAAGGACATGAAACCTAGGATCACAAACTCACATCAACACAACCAAATATGATAGCTCTATTGCTGATATTGAGCACTCTCCAATAAGAACCGCACATATATAATATATAAATAATATTTATAAAAATTGCATATATATATATATATATATATATATATATATATATATATATATATATATATATATATATTTTTATGTTTATATTTATATACATACATATTATACACACACACATATATATATATATATATATATATATATATATATATATATATATATATTTTAATTTAAAGAAAAAAACAGACCACTTTAAGGTTCCATTGTTATAATTTATTTCACCAGAGATTTTATTTTTCTCTGGATCTTCAGACTTCTCTGGATCTTCAGACTTCACTTTTTCTCTGGATCTTGAGACTTTCGCTTTATATATATATATATATATATATATATATATATTTATATACTAACAAATCAAACAGCACTGATCCTAATCATTACTCTGAGTTTCACACTAAGCAATTGTTTCATTTGGTTTGTTAGCATTACTGCTCTGTCTTTGTCCAACTTCTCAAGGCAATGAGCACTTTAGGCTTTTGTGTAGCTAGGTATTTATGTTTTTCTTTTTGTATTTTTTCTCTTCTTTTGTCCATTTACTTAATTTGTTTTCTTGGTCTTTTTAGTTTTCTTTTCATACTTTTACTTTGGTAGGTTTAGTGTTCGTAGGGTTGTTCTTTGATGTTGGATCTATAGCTTGTTTTGCTTTTATTTATATATTTATATATATATATATATATATATATATCAAAATGAACAAACACTTAAATATTTGTTACAAGTGTACATGTTAAAAAAGTGCTCAGTTTCAAGTAAGAAAATTTAAACCTGTAATGTGAATTAATATCTTAAAAAGCTAAAAACTCCCACTCCCTCATTACTTCCTGTGCCATATTAAGGCATTTAAGTTCTTGTGTTGTCTCTAATTAATTTGCTGAGTAAACCACCTGATGAGACCTTGACGGTTGAAACAATGGTAGTGCTCCAGTCAGTATTTTACCTTTTTAAGATATATATATATATATACATATAAATATCTATATATTATAACCATTATTAATGTTGATGTTTGAAATTGGGAATAACACACTGTCTTTTGAAATACTCACAACAAACATGTTGTACTTGAGATGTGAGTCCATCTAAAAAAATGTAAGAAGTGACAAGAATCAATATATATGTACAAACAAATGATAAAGTATTAACAACAAAGGTATACAAGTGACAAAGACAATAGGTTGTGTAACAAATGAATGTGGAAACTGTTTGTGAGTGAATGTGCAT